ACACCGCCAGGAGTCATGCCTGAGTGCAGAACCAGGAGTAACCCCTGAGCATCGCCAGGTGTGACCCAAAAAGTGAAAGGAAAAAAAGGAAATAAGGGGTGTCATTTGTTTAGAAACAAGGAAGAGATGGTTCATAAGATAAACAAGGGGCTGAAGCAAGAGTACAGCAGGGAGGGCGCTTGTCTTGCATGTGGCCCACCCAGGTTCTATCCCCAGCACCCCATATGGTCCCCGATGCCCATCTGGAGTAGTACCTGAGTATCCAATCATGAGTAACTCTTGAGCACTGCTGGGTGTGACCCAACATTTAAAAATAAAAAAAGGTAAAACAGGTAATACTTAGGAACCTCATGGAAGAGAAGGGTAGGACAGTCCCTACTGACTTCTGAAAAAATTTTTCTTCTTCTGGGGCTGGCACAATAGCATAGCAGGTAGGGTGTTTGCCTTGCACGCGGCCAACCAGGGTTCGATTCCCAGCATCCTATGTGGTCCCCTGAGCACTGCCAGGGGTAATTCCTGAGCGTAGAGCCAGGAGGAACCCCTGTGCATCGCCGGGTGTGACCCAAAAAGAAAAAAAAAGAAAAAATTTTCTTCTTTGAAGTAAAACAGATTTTATTTAAAGGGTTTTGAAGGGGAGGAGCGAGAGAAAGTGTGAGAGGGTAGGATCAGGTGTCCAAGAGAGAGCACGGGCTTCTCCAAGGGCGGAGAGAGCCCCGACACACACCCCAGCATTAGGTAGAAAAGCATGAAAGTCCCCATCTCAAGAGGGGAGACGTGGGCGGCATGTGTGCTTGGCCATGCGGCCACAAGCAGCACATGTGCCTTTTTTTTTTAAATTTTTGAGTTTTCTTTTTATAAAGTTTGTCCACAGTAATCGATTACATTCAGTATTTCAACACCAATCCCACCACCATTGCACCTTCCCGCTACCTTTATTTCGAATTTTCCCACCACCACTCACTCTTGCCTGCCACAGGCAGATGCTAAATAATTTACTTTGTTTTGCTTGTTATGACTAGCAGGAGATGTTGTGTGGCCACTTTTGTGGCCTCCTGCTCCTGGAATTCTAAAATTTTAAATAATTGGGGTCCAGAGACCTCTCTGCAGCAAGCTGATCGGTTCCAAAATTCATTTGGGAGTCTCTGTGTCAAGGCCATTAATGTGTTTAATTTGGCACCAGTTTGTGGGCGTGACAGCCAGGACCCCGAAGGGACAGGGAGGCGGGGAGGAGTGGCCCAGCCCTGATCCTTTGAGGCCTGGAGTTTTTAGTCACTGGTCCCGCATACCTGGGCTTTTCATTGGGTTCTGGAAGTTCGAGATGGCTAGGATTCACTTGGGGCAGATGGAGGGACAACACCTGCTCCCGTTTGAGGCATCCCGGTAAAATCAGCCTGGCGCAAGGTCCAGGGACAGATGTCTCTGGACCAGGCGAGCCACTCGGTTCCAAGATTCATTTGTGAGTCTCCGGATCATGGCCGTTAATGCCCTGCTGATTTCTCACCTCTGTGTCTTCACCGTGTTGATCATCATCCACAGTGAGGATGGTGAGCCGGGCTGAAGAACTTGACCCGGATTTGGCAGGTTCCCAGAGTTCTCAGCAGGAGAAAAGCGATCCTCAATCTGTTTTTGGCTGGTGACGGGTACAGTGGACACCAGTAGAAACCCAAGTTTCATCAGGAGGGTGAGGATGGCAGTGGCCTTCACTGCGCCAAGGTGGGGAGCCCAAGGGGGCCCAGAGAAAGATAAATCAGCCCAAGAGGGGCCAGAGCGATAGTACAGCGGGGAGGGCGTTGGCCTTGCATGCAGCCAACCCAGGTTCGATCCCGGGCATCCCATATGGTCCCGCCGCATTGCCAGGAGTAATTCCTGAGTGCAGAGCCAGGAATAACCCCCGAGCATCGCTGGATGTGACCCAAGAAGGAAAAAAAAAAAAGTAGCCCACTTAGGCCAGCCCTTCCGACTGCAGCCTCAGGAGCAGACCACTTGTAACTGCTGCCGAGAGAGTTCCGAGGGACCAGCCATAGGGCGGGCTTGGGAGTGTTTCCTGAGCACCTGCTGTAGGGTCTGTAGGATGCTGGGTGCTTCACACTCATTCACTGTTCACGGGAATCGCTAGAGCTGGAGTCCTTGACTCATTTTATTGATGAACCCCGGTTTGGGGACACTTACGCAAGGCACAGAGTGAAGTACAAGAACTGAGAGTGTCGCTGAGTTGTCTGAGCCCCGAGCACCTTGGAGTGACTCCCCACCTGCTGCTCTGTACTTGTCAGGCAAGGATAGACAGCTGGGCAGGGAACATTTCCAGCAGAAAGAAGCTTCTTCCCCGGCCCTTCATGCTCCCTCTTACAAAGAAGCAGTGAGAACCAGAGAGAGAGAGAGAATACAAGGGCCCAGGTGCTTGCCTTGCAGGAAGCTGAGCCCAGTTCAACCTCCAGCACCAGGATAAGGGTCTTGCAAGCAACTCCAGGAGTAATCTCCGAGACAGCCAGAAGTCCTGAGCACTGCTGGGGGTGGCCCCAGAACAAAAACAATGATGGGTCAGAGATAGTACAGCAGGTAAGGTTCCTCCCTTACATGGGTTCAATCCCCGACACTCCATGGGGCCCCAGAGTTCAGTTAAGAGTGACCTCCTGAGCGCACAGCCAGGAGTAAGCCCTGAGCTCTGTCTTGTGTGGCCCAAAAACCAAAACAAATAGATAAAAGGCAAGGATCAGAGAGGCGAGACAGTCAAGGGGACAGGGCCCTGGCCTGGCACAGAGCTGGCCTGGGTTTGGTTCTTGGTATCACAAATCCCATCGATTTGCTCGAGCAGGCCCAGTAACATCTCCATTGTGAGACTTGTTACTGTTTTGAGCATGTCGAATACGTCACAGGTAGCTTGCCAGGCTTTGCTGTGCGGGCGAGAGACTCTCGGTAGCTTGCCGGGCTCTCCGAGAGGAGCGGAGGAATCGAACTCGGGTCGGCCAGGTAGGCTGCATGCAAGGCAAACGCCCTACCTGCTGTGCTATCACAAATCCCAGCACGGCCAGGAGTGATCCCTGAGCACATCTGGGTGTGCTCAAGACCCCCCCACCCCAACCCAAACAGCAGGAAGCAGAGTTGGAAACAGCCAATAGTCTGGTCTCAATAAGCACATGACACAAACTTAATGGTGACGAACAACTGGTTCAGGGTTCCAGTTCTGCCGCACAAAACCAGAAGTTCCCCTGCTGAGGCTGCGGCCACAGAAATAAGATCTAGAATACCCAGTTTGAAAAGAGCGCTGATCTCCCTCGACAAAATACAGATGGCTTTCTAGGTACTTCTCTTGGGGGAGGCGGCATATCTGTCAGGGCTCAGAGCTTACGCCTGGCTCTGACAGTCGCACGGGACGAGACGCAGTGCCAGGCATCGAACCCAGGTCGGCTGTGTGCAAGGCAAGCGCCTTCCCCTTTGGGCTGTGTCTCTGGCCCTTCGGGGGCCGGAGAGGAGGGAGAAGCTTCAGTGGAAGAACTGAACCAACCCTTCAGACACGTGGAAGACTCGGGCACAGAAGGCGCCGTGAGATGTGCAGAGAGGCGGAGCACCTGAAGAGCAAAAACCAGACCGACAGAGTTGTGCGGGGATGGTCACAGGTAACATTCCCCCCACACACACACCCACCCACAGGACTCTCCCAGGCAGTGCTCAGAAAGCCTGGAGGCCTCTTTCAGTAACACTCCTCAATGAGCTGTTCGGCAGGGCTGGGTACCCAGCCTACCCCCCGTGCTACCGCAGGGGACGCTTTAAGGACGCCTGCTCCACTGCCAGATCCTGTGGGTTTGGGGAAAGTGTCTCAAGCAGTGCTCACCCAAGGAAAGTGCTTTTTATTTATGTTTGGTTTTGGGGCCGGACCCAGCTCTCCTCAAGACTCAGTCCTGCTCTGTCCCTCCTGGCGGGGCTCAAGGGACCGTATGAGATGCCAGGGACCGAGCCCAGGTCCGCCGGTGTAAGGCAAGCACCCTACCCGCTGTCTTGTCTCCGGCCCCAGCAGGTGCTTTTGAGTGTGCTTTAGGTGAAGCAACTGGGCTGAGAGAGGTAGCTTGCCCAGGCTAACTCGCAGGCCCTTCCTGTCCTGGCCCTGGGGGGGGGAGGATGCTGAGGTGGTCTCGGCTCCTGCCCCAGCGTCCTCGGCAAGACCCGCCACGAAGAGTCTCGGCTGCTTTTCCTGGAGGCAGGATCCCAGCAGTGAGCCGACCAGGGTGTGGAGAGGGAGGCAGAGAAAGCCCGATTTTCAGGGACGTCTTGGGACCGGGCCTGTCCCCGAGAAGCAGCGGCCAGCGTGGCAGTGTAGTTGGGCACCGTGGCCACAGGGTGGCAGCACCACGTCAGTGCGGAGGAGGCTGGGTCCAGCCCAGGCCATTCGGGGGCTCTGCTGGCTGGTGAAGCCGGGGTCCGCCCACAGAGTTCTCAGGGGGCTGCAGAGCCTTTAAGCCTCCTCCTGCACCCCCTTGTTCCCTGCCCAGGGCTCAGAGTGGCGACTCCGTGTCTGAGCACGAGTCCGTCGCAGGGTCCTGAGCCGGGGGAGGCCTCGCTGCAGCCCCCAAAGGCTGTTCCTGTCTGACCCCGGCGGCCCCTCCCGCCCTGTCCAGGACTGACTACCTGGCCCTGACCCCGTTTCTCTGCGCTCCTGCTCTATAAATCACGAAAGAGGGGATCAGTCGGCGCTCTCCGACCTGTTGAGGGACCGGGGGTTCTCGAAGGCCCCCAGGGCCCGGCTCTGACAAAGCAGCTGCAATTAATGCGGTTCCTCGCGCACCGGAGACAGGATTTATGCGTCCAATAAAGTCTCCAACTCCGGGCTGAGCCAGGAGCTCCCAGGGGCACCCTGCGAGGGGATCTCAGGTGGCTCCTAACTGAGTCGTGCATCTCCGGTGCCGGCTCCAGACGCCCCCTCGGGCGGCCGCGGGGGGGGCCGGGGGACCACAGGTATAAGAGGCGCCGGCGGAGGGAGGGAGGCAGGCAGGCAGGCGACGGGCAGCATGGATGCCAGGCGGGCGGTCGCCTTGCTGCTGCTGGTGGCGACGGGCTGGGGCCCCGCCGGGGGCTCTGAAGGCACCCAAGAGGCCGGGAGCTGGGACGGAGACCAGACCCTCCCCGTAAGTCAGCGACCCCTGCCTTGGCTGCAGGGATGCTGGGACTGCCCGTCCCCAAGGTGGCTCCTTGGCCCCCCGCCGCTCGCTCCCTCCCCCTCAGCACGTCCTTTGGCCCCTTCCCTCCCGATGCCCCGAACCACAGGAGGAAGACAGCGGACCGCACCCCCCGCAGGATGCCGAGACCCTGGGGTCCGTCTTGCATTTCCTGCTGCAGGCCTTGAAGAGACCCAGCCGGACGCCGGCCTTCCTGTTCCAGCCCCAGAGGTGAGTCGGGGAGGGCGCGGGAAGGCAGAGGGGGCCGAGACGGGAGGGACCCCAGGACCCCAGCTGAAGCTGCCTCTCTCCCAAGGTTTGGCAGGACCCCCCGCGGCCCCCGGAGCCAGGACAGGCTGAGTGCCCGCACCGGCGAGGGGCACAGCTCGCCCTTCTGGAGCCTGGTTGCCCCTCAGCGCTTCGGAAAGAAGTGATGCGTCGGCCCTCGGTCCGCCCGCCTGCCGCCCCCTCCCCCAATAAAGCTGCATGGCTCTGGGAGTCGTGGTCCGCCTCTGAGACTGCCTCGCCCTCCAGAAAGGCCACCTGCAGGGCAGATGGCCCAGGGCTCGCTCCACTCCAGCGGCTCCACTGGGAGCAGCAGGTCGGGGCCAGGGGGATGGTCCAGCGCGGGGGGCCTCGCAGAGACGACCCCGGGTAGGTCCTGGGCACTGCACACGGTCCCCAGGGCACGGCCAGGAGTGCTCTCTGGGCACAGAGCCGGGAGGACGGTGCGGCGCACACACCCCCACTCCCCACGCTCCCCCCCCAAGCAAAACCAGAGTCCGAGTGCAGCAGGTTTATTCTGGGCCCGCAGGCGGGACCCAGCCTCCCCCGGGAAAGGAAGGTCCGGGCCGGCGGGGCCTCTTGGTGCCCTGCTTCCAGGGCCGGTGGCCGGCACGGCAGACAGTCTGGGCCAGAGGTAGGAGCGGCACCCCCGTGGGTGCCAGCGCTCGGCCGACGTGCGGGCAGAGGCGCCAGGATGCGCGTGGCGAGTCCAGCCGGGGCTTCACTTGCTGCCGGCCATGATCTTCAGGTACTGCAGGGCGTGGCGCGCCGCCTCCCCGCGGGCGGCCTCCCTGGTGGCTGCGGAGCCGTGACACACGGTGGCCGGCTGCGTGGACAGCTCCACCAGGCACTGGCAGAGCCCGCTCTGACTCAGCTCCTCTGAAGGGGGAGAAGGCGCCGTGGGGGAGGCCGAGACCGCGGCGCCCCAGCCCCGCCCGCCCCGCCCGGCCGTACCGATGTCCATGTAGCTGACGTGGAAGGCCTGCTCCTCGGACAGCTCGCTGAGGACGCCGCAGCAGGCGGGGCCCAGGGCGCCCAGGGCCCCCAGGGGGCAGCTGCGCAGGGACAGGATCTTCTCCCCGGCCGAGTTCCGCAGGGAGTCCCACGTGCAGCCCGGGCCCCGGCTGCGCAGCCCGTCCTGCCGGGAGCCCGCGCCCTGCGGAGGGACAGGGGGCGCCGATGGCGCAGGCCGGGTCCCGCGGGGGAGCGTCCTGGCAGCGTCCCCCCACCCCCGGCAGCGTCCTGGTCCAGCCAAGGCCCGAGCAACCGCGGCAGGGGCGCTGCCGGGGCGCGTGAGGAAGTGGTCCGAGGGGGGCAGGCGCTCAGGGGCCACTCACGAGGGAGAAATGGTCGTCGTCGGGCTCGGCCTCCGTCCCCTCGCGGGCGTCCAGGGGCACCGTGTGGACCCGATGCAGCATCTTGGCCGCCGCGTTCCGCTTCGCCAGCTTCTTGGACGTGCCGCTGCCTGCGGAGAGGCGGCCCTGGCTCCGAGTCCCCCCGGCCTGGCGCGAGGGCCACCCGAGGGCAGAAAGGGCGCCTGGGACCCGCGGTGCCCGAGGGGGGGGGGGCTGGGGGCGGGGCAGGGCGCCCTCCCCGGTTACCGATCTCCACGAAGCGCTCCACTTGGCAGGTCATGGTGAACTCCTTGCGGTGGGCCGGCCCGGACTCCTGGGTCACCGTGTACTCAGGCAGCCGCCAGCCCTTCTGCACCACCAGCTCCTTGGGGGCGAAACGAGGGGGTGGCAGGCCGCCCTCCCACCCAGGGGCCTGGGCCCCGGCCCAGAGGCAGAACCCAGGGCTGGGCTGGGCGAGGCCTCGGGGCAGGGCCCCACCCGCGCCACCTCCGAGGGGAGACGCGGGACGCACCTGCAGGGCGCCGACGGGGTTGCATTCGGACTGCTGGGGGGACACGGGCGGCTGCACCTCCATGGGGGGGCTCCTGAGGGAGGAGCCAGGGCCAGCACTGAGGCAGGGCCAGCACTGAGGCTCGGCTGCCCGCCCGCTGCCTCCCCGCCTCCACCCAAGTGAGGCCTCCTCCAGATCCCGGGCCCAATCGAACCTTTCTGGAACTTGCCAGAACACTCAGCCATCACCTGGCTAGGAGAGTGGGAGGGGGCTGTCCCGAGGTCCCCAGCACCCCCGTGGGACTCCAACGCAGGACCCTCACGGGGCTACTCGGAAGAAGGTGGCCGTGCAGGCCCTTGTAGGGCAAACGTCACCCAGGCATCGTTTCCATTTCGTGAACTGCCCCGTCCCAAGAGCGTATCACTGATCCAACTCTTCCAGCTCTGGTCCCCTCTACTCCACCTTGTTGACCGTCTCCCAGTTCCTCCTGTCTGACCATCTTGGGCCCCAGGGCTGGGGGCAGGGAGCCAGGGCCCTTCCCACCCCAGGACCAGCCAGGAGACGCAAGGTACCTGGTTAGGGCCACGGACGGGGCAGAAGTGGCCGTCAACACCGCAGCAAACGCGGGGCTGTCCTCCGGCAGCGTCGAGTCTAGGGGAGAAAAAGAACTTCCCGAGGGAAGGGGCCTTTGACTCACCCCCGCAGGGCCGGGCCAGGGGCCAGGCCGCCCTCACCTGCCCTCCCCCTAAGAGACAGGAGGGCAGCCCAACCAGCAAGTCCTCCCGGGGGCCCTTTGCTGGCCCAGAAGATACGGGAACACAGAAGAGAACCAAGACTGGCAGCTGGAAGAACAGCCTGCTGGCAGCGGGCATGCCGGCGAGCGATGTCCGGCAGCTCCCCCGCCCTCCCCGGGGCACCCACTACCACACAGCCCCTCCGTGGGACTGTCCGGTCCCTGCAGAGGCCGTGCTCAGGCCCAGGGGAAACTGAGGAAGAGGCCCCATCAGGCTGCCCCCAGGCTCAGCGTCCCAGGCCAGGCCCCTGAGGCGGAGGGCGTGACGCAGGGGCCCAGGTGTCCGCAGGGTCTGGGGGCTCCGGGGCTCGACCCCCTCACCTGCTGTCCTCCAGGGCCGGCTCCAGCATGTTCCCCCCTCTCAGGTGCCTGAGGGCGACCTCAGCTGCCTTGTGCTTGGCCGCTTTCTTGCTGGGGCCCTGTCCTGAGAGAGGGGTCACGGTAACACTGGTGATCTCGGGGCGTCAAAGGAGGAACCCGCATCTCGGCGTCTCACCAGCGTCAGGGGGAGTCGGCCAGGGGCCCCCTCCCCTCGCCTGAGGCTGGCGGAACCCTCGTCAACACCCCCAGCCAAGCCAGGCCAGGCAGAACTGCTCCTGTGCACGGACCCTGTCTTGTTCTCCCTAGAAAGCACCGTTTGTTTTCTCTCGATAGGAGAGACAGCTGGGAAAACAGGACAAGTGGCCCTAAAGTCACAGCATGGCCTTGCCACCTGTGACAGTGATTCTGCCTGGATCCTCGCACTCGGCTACACCACTGGAGTGAAATGAGGCTTCGGGTTCACTGGGGATTGAGGGGAGCAGGGCAGTAGCACAGCAGGGAGGGCGTCTGCCTCGCTGGGATCGATCCCCAGCATCTCCCAGGACCCTGAGCACCACCAGGAGGGGTCGTTTCTGAGTGCGGGGTCAAGAGTGACCCCTGAGGGACTGGAGAGAGAGCACAGCGGGGAGGGCGTTCGCCTTGCACGCGACCGACCCGGGTTCGATTCCCAGCATCCCACTGGGTCCCCTGAGCACCGCCAGGAGTGATTCCTGAGTGCAGAGCCAGGAGGAACCCCTGTGCATGGCCGGGTGTGACCCAAAAAGAAAACAAAAAGTAACCCCTAAGCATCATCAGATGTAACCCCCCCCCAAAAAAAAAAGTCAACTAGGAATTTGGGGAGGAAACAGCTCAAAAGGCAGGAGTGGCATGCTTGGCCTGAGTGGCTGCTGGCAGGGTCTGGTCACCCTCTGCTGACCCCACCGGCCGCGGCAGCAAAGGAGTGAGGGAGGAGTTTGGTATCAAAACCCAACAGAGCGGCTGGAGCCATAGCACAGCGGGGAGGGCGTTTGCCTTGCCCGCGGCCGGCCCGGGTTCGAGTCCCAGCATCCCGGAGGGTGACTCCCGAGCGCATGAAGCGGGAGTAACCCCTGTGCATGGCCGGGAGTGACCCCAGGAGCAAACGCCGAAAACAAAGCCCAACAGAGCCTGGACCCCCGGAGGCGCCCCCCCCGAGGCGCTCCCCCCGCCGGGCCAGGAGGGGCGCGAGGGGCGAGCGAGGGGCTCGCCGGCCGCTCACCGGTGCAGCTGGTCTCGCCGACGGAGACGCGGAAGGTGAAGTTGGGCTGGTGGGCCTGGCCCTCGGCTTTGAGCAGGTCGTACACCGGCGTCTTCCCTATTCGGGTCCCATACTCCTGCAGAAGGCTGATCGGGGTCTTGCCCAGGTTGGCCGCCAGCATTTGCTCCAGGCTGGGGGGAGGGGCACAGACCCTCATCGTCGCTGCCCCGCTCCCACGGCGCGGTGGGGGGCGGGGTGCGGGCGGAGAGGGGCGCGCGGCCCGCCTCGGCCGGGCCGGGGTCCCGCCCCCCGCGGAGCGCAGGAGCGCAGGGGCCGGCACCCCTCCGGGGCCCGCGGCGGCGGCTCACCTGGGCAGCCCGCCGCCCGTGGGAGTGCCGGAGCCCTGCTCCTCCTCGCTCATGCCCGCCTCCGACCCCGCGGGCGCCGCCGTGCTGCAGCCGCCTCGCGCCCCTGCACCCGCGCCCGGCCGGGCCCGGGCCCGCGCCCGAGCGCCGGCCGGGCGCGCCGCCGCGGGGCATGCCGGGACTCGCAGTCCCGCCCCGGCCCGGCGCCGCCCCGCGGGCCGCCGCGCCCCTCCAGCCCCCGCGGGCCGCCTGCCGGGGGGCGCCGCCTCCGAGGCCGCGGCCCGCGCGCCCCCCGCGGGCCGCGGCGGGGGCGGCCGGGCGGCGCTGCCTCGGGCTCCGGAGGCGGCGGCGGCGGCGCGGGGAACTACAAGTCCCAGGAGCCCGCGCGCCGCCCCGGTCGCAATCGGACGCGCGCGCGGGCTGCTTTACGGCCGCCGTGGCCGCTCCCGAGGGCACGGCCCGGCGAGCCGCGCCGCCATTGGCCGCGCCGCTCGCCTAGCCCCGCCTCCCGCCCGGGCGCGGCTGTGATTGGCGGAGGAGCGCGGCGGCGGCCGTCGGGCCCGGCTCCGCGCTGTCTGCGGCGGCGGGGGCGGCCGCGGCGGCGCGCGGGGGCGCAGGTCTTCGCCCCTCGGGGCGCTCGGGCAACTTCGCGCCGACCCGGCCGGTGCCCCCGAGTCCTCGGCCCGGCCCCGGCCCCGAGCCGGCGTCTCGCGGCCCTGCGCCGCGCCCTCGCCCTCGGGGCTGCCCCCGGCCCGCGGGCCCCGCTTCCCCGCACCCTCCCGGGCGCCCGAGCCCCGGGAGCCGCAGGACGCGGGGCGCGGTGACTCATCCCCTCCCGCGCGTGCCGCCGAGGGCGAGCGCAGGCGATGCCGGCCCCCCCGGAGTAGCCCCGCCGAGCCCCCGCCGAGACACACAGCCCCGGGTCCCAGAAACCTCCGTGCCCCCGCCCCAGGTCCCACAGCCCCCGGGCTGAAAGATGCCAAGTGTGACCTTGGAGAGACAGAGCAGGAAAAGCATCCGAGCCTAGTGAGTGTCCGAGGCTGGGCCAGGGCAGCGAGGGCCGGCTCGGAGCCGCGAGCGGGGCGGTGTGGGGTCCCGGGATGCTGCGGGGTCACGGGGGGTCGCCCGGAGCACGAGGGGGAGGGGCCCGAGGGGCGTGGAGCCGAGCGGGCCCCGCGCGGGGGAGCTGGAGCGCGACCGGCGGGGGAGGCGGCGGGGCGGGGGTCCCGCCGGGGGTCCGGGCGGGGCGGGCGGAGGCCCGGCGGGGAAGCGAGGCCCGGCGGCCCGGCTGGCCCGCGGCGCGCCGGCTGGCGGCGGGGCTCCTTTAAGAGGCCGGCGGCTCCGCGCAGCATCCTCCGCTCAGGGCGTGTCCGTCCCGGGGGGCCGGGGCGGGGGCCTGGCTGGAGCGGGCGTCGGAGCTGCGTGGGGACGGGGCTCGGGGCGGGGGGCGGGGAGAGAGCCGGGGCTCGGCCCAGGGCGCCCGGCCGCCGCCCGAGTCCGGCGGAGGGCAGCGGGGCGGGGGGCGGCGGGAGCAGCAGCCGAGCCGAGCCGAGCCGAGCCGCAGCAGCACCGCCGCCTTTGTGCTCGGCCGCCGAGCCCCCGAGGTGAGAGCCGGACCGAGTTCGGGGGGAGGGGGCAGGCACGGGCCGGGGCCGGGGATGCTGGCGGGCGCGCGGACGGAGGACCAGGATGCTGGCGGGCCGCGGGGATGCTGGAGGGCCGCGGGGATGCTGGGCGCGCGGACGGAGGACCAGGATGCTGGCAGGCCGCGGGGATGCTGGAGGGCCGGGATGCTGGCGGGCGCGCGGACGGAGGGCCAGGATGCTGGCGGGCCGCGGGGATGCTGGGCGCGCGGACGGAGGACCAGGATGCTGGCGGGCCGCGGGGATGCTGGAGGGCCGGGATGCTGGCGGGCGCGCGGACGGAGGGCCAGGATGCTGGCGGGCCGCGGGGATGCTGGGCGCGCGGACGGAGGACCAGGATGCTGGCGGGCCGCGGGGATGCTGGGCGCGCGGACGGAGGACCAGGATGCTGGCAGGCCGCGGGGATGCTGGCGGGCCGCGGGGATGCTGGCGGGCCGGGATGCTGGCGGGCGCGCGGATGGAGGACCAGGATGCTGGCGGGTCGCGGGGATGCTGAAGGGCCCTGAGGGTGCTGGCGGGCGCGCGGACGGAGGACCGGGATGCTGAAGGGCCCTGAGGATGCTGGCGGGCCGCGGGGATGCTGGAGGGCCGGGATGCTGGCGGGTGCGCGGACGGAGGACCAGGATGCTGGCGGGCCGTGGGGATGCTGGGGCGGTGGGGACCGATTCCCGGGGACCTGGACCCGACGCCGCGGAGATTGGAGGAAGGAGCGGCCAGACGCCGCAGCCCGGCTCGGAGGCGAAGGGCCCGCGGGGGTGGAGGTGGGAGCCCGGCGGGGGCAGCCGGGCAGGACAGCCTGCTCGCCTCCCACTCCACTCGTGCCCGCCAGCGGGCGGCAGGTGGAGGCGCTCCCGTTGCGAGCAGAGGAAGGACGAGGCCTTCGGAGCTGCGTTCGTGCATCCCTGGGCGAGTGCCCGCCCCTCACCCCGACGCCCCTGCAGTGAGCCCCCTTCTCTGCACGCTCCCGGGCCCTGTCCCCTCCAGCTGCGGCCTTCACCTCCAGCTGTTGCTTCCCTTCCTCCCCTCCCCCATTCAGAGGTGGCTCTTCCTCTTCTCCTCGGACCCCTTCATCCATTTCCTCAGCTCAGGCCCATTCGGAACCGCCTTCCTTCCCCCCCTTACACTCCTGAAACTTCTCCTTGCCTTAAAAACAAGCAAGAATCCTTGTGAGAGTTGAAACTCTTGGCTGAGGGGAGGGAAGGGGTCAGATGCTTGGTAGGCAGTGAAAGGAAGTGATGGCGTGTCCTTTAGAAGTGAGCGAGATTCCCACCTTCGGGCTCCCCTACCTGGCGGGTTGGGAGGAGAGAGGTGGTCTTCGGAGGTGGGGTCTGCCCGCTGGGGAATCAGGCTTCCTCTAATCGCCATTTCCCTTCCCAATCTCAGGACGGACCCACGATTGAGGGGGCTGATTCTCGCCGAAGGATCCGTAGGTGTGAGGGCGACCAGTAGACTTTCTAGAGGGAGAGGGTCCGAGTGCGCCTTGGGCCTTCCTGTCCAGAAGCTGAGGTTCCTTTGAGCTTCGGGGCCTGCTTCCAGCCATCCACACTTAAGTGTGAAAAAAAGACAAGTTGCCGCTCGTTCCTTCACTTGCAGCAAGGACTGATGTGGTGTTGGGGAGACCCTTGTGGTCCCATGCCCTGAGATGCGTAGAACTGCAGCAGTGAGTGGGGCCAGAGAGTAGTGGAGTGGCCACGGCACCTGCCTGGCATGTGGCCGACCGGATTGGATTGCTGCCGTCCCAAATGGGTCTTCCCAGGAGTAATTCTTGAGTGCAGAGACAGGAGTTACCCCTAAGCATCACCGGTGTGATCCCAAAAACAACAAATAGGAAAGAAAAGCACCAGTAATCATCCCGTAATGAAACCCAGTTATGGACAGAGGTGGCACAAAGTTGAAAGTCTCTCAGGATTTCCGAGGTGACCTCGCCACTGAGGGGAGCAGAAATCCTCTAAAAGCCACCTGCTGGGGCTGGAGCCATAGCACAGCGGGGAGGGCATTTGCCTCCCACGCGGCCGACCCAGGTTCGATTCCCAGCATCCCATGTGGTCCCCTGAGCACCTCCAGGACTAACCCCTGTGCAAAGCCCGGTGTGACCCAAAAAGGAAAAACAAAAGCCACCTGCTGGGTCCCAGCCCTTCCCCAAGGGTGATGGCCCCACTGAACCCAGGGAACAGATTATGCTAGTGGTAATCGGCTTTGTCGGGAAGAAGACCCTCAATTCCGGTGCTCATGCCCCTGGACCTGCCTGATGGCGCCTGACTCAGTCGCAGCCCTTGGGAGAAGGGACTAGGCGGCCATCCCTGTAGGAGGTCCAGCTGGGGCTCAGAAGGGGCTGGACCCAGGCTCTGTCTGGTTTGCTCCCAGTACTAGGTCATGTGTGGCTACAGGAAGGAGAATGAGGGGGCAGCTCTGTGGCAGAGCGCAGAGCCCGGGGCCTTGGGCTCTTTCCCCCTGTATCCTCCTAAGTCCCCTTGGCTTAGCAGAGAAGGAAGAGGGAGGGAGGGAGGGAGGGAGGGAGGGAAGGAAGGAAGGAAGGAAGGAAGGAAGGAAGGAAGGAAGGGGATGACACTGACAGCTCACCATGTGGCACTGTTTGTAGGGAGCTTCTGGTATGCCAGCGACCGAGCCCAAAACTGCATTTGGATGATCTCAGTCCTTCGTAAGAGGTCTCAGAGGTAGCGCTGTCATCATCATCTCTGCTTTAGAAACTTCACGAAGTAATTTTGGAAGTAAAAACCAAATCAGTATTTGGCAAAGAGCTTACAAGTTCAAAAAAAATTAATTGGGGTAACATAGATTTGTAGCATCAAATTGTATCATAGTTCAGTATCTGTACATGGTCTGCGCAATGCGAACTCCACTGAAAGTCCAGTGGTTTCCATTAACCTCACAAATGACCTCCTTTTTTCATTTCTCCCACTGCATAAGCTTAAGACTTGAACCAGGCCTCTCTGCTCCGGGCCTGTGCTCATACGCAAATGTAACAGACTTCTGTCGCTGGATAGAAAAGAACTGGGGAATTTCGTGGCAGAAACGGACAATCGGTCATTTTTATTTATTTTTTAATTTAAAAGTTTGTTTTGTTTCGCTTTTTTTTTTTTTGGTTTCTAGGTCATACCCAGTGATGCTCAGGGGGCAGTGCTCCTAGCTTGGTGTTCAGGTCATTCCCAGTGGTGCCAGGGATTGAACGTGGGGCTTCTGCATGCAAATTATGCACTCCAGCCCCTTAAATAAATTTTCACTTTTTTTTTCTTTTTGGGTTACACCCGGCGATGCACAGGGGTTACTCCTGGCTCTCCACTCAGGAATTACCCCTGGCGGTGCTCGGGGACCCTATGGGATGCTGGGAATCGAACCTGGGTCGGCCGTGTGTGTGCAAGGCAAACGCCCTCCCCGCTGTGCTATTGCTCCAGCCCCACATTTTCGCTTTTTGGAGAGGGGATCTTTGGGGGTGTTGGGGCCACAT